GCACTTAAAAATAGGAAAAAGCAAGGAAAGTGTGATGGTTAGGAAACTGCAGCCTTCCCTGAGGTTTACCTAACCCATGCATTAGTGGGAAGAACCAAGTGACCGCCTCCAGATGTGTGTGAGAGAGAGAGAGAACTGCTTGACTATCTACAATGAACATCGCCCTCTTCACACTCCAACACTTACTCTTTGCTCCTTTGGCAGTGCCCAGGTTAATGCTTAATCCATCGCACACCTATAATTTCTAAGGCCAAGCCCTGTTTATGAGAAAGGGGTTATGTCGATGCCTTCAGATCAGTTGGCCTAGTTTGCAGGTCGACCTGCTCAGAGACTCGTCTCCAGCTGTCAAGCAAAGGAACCTTCAGGACGGGTCAGAAGAAGCTTCCAAAATGCCACGAAAATCCAGCTTGTCCATGGGCTTCGCCATCGCCTTAGCCATCCTGACGATTTCTGCCATCGGTGGGATGATCTCTATGATAATCGTTTTTGAACTTGAGACTTCTCAAATAAACATGACAGAGCATCCACCAACAGTACCATCTACAATGGCACCGCTGCCGACGAGTTGGCGTCTACCAAGGAACCTGATTCCTGAAAGGTACGAGATCACCATCCAGGTTGACCTCTACACCAGAATCGTGGAAGAGGTGAACGTAATGACCCCAAACCAGACGCTGCTCTTCCGTGGAAACTCCACTGTGCACTTCAAGTGTCAACAAAATACATCATCGGTCATCCTCCACAGCCTTGGACTAAATGTTTCCTCTCCTTGTGTATTTAACAAAGACACAAATGCGTCGATCGTGGCGAACATCACCAACAACGAGAAAGATGGTTTGGACTTCTTGGAGATTAAAACGGAAGAATTATTTATTACTGATGGGAACTACAGTTTATCCCTGGAATTTGAGGGAGAATTATCTGAATATCTTGATGCATTTTTTGTAAGCAGATATGCTGAATTTAATACCAAGGCTGAAAATGTAACCATAGAGGAAAGGTAAGTCATTTTAAACAATCTGTATGACACCTTTTAGACTTTTCTGACTGATAAACTACATGGACAGAACAGGAGGAGGTGGAATGAGAAACAAGGGAGACACAAAGAAAAAAAATATTTTAAGAGTTCAACAATAAAATGTTTTCTTGAATTGATTTAAACTTTTAACATTAACAAAAGAGAGATTTTCAAGAGAGTAAACCAGTTAAAGGCTAGATTGAGACATTCAGTTTACTATACACTAAAATTTTGCTAAAAAGACTGTATTTTTTATTCAATCTTCACATTACTACAGAAAATATATTAATCTCAATAGGAATTTAGTTTTAAAAATATTTTTTTGTGTTAAAATGATGAATGC